CCACACTCTCCCTTGTTTTCTTTTCTGTCAGCATGATTTAAAGAGAGGAAATCAGCTCACAAAGGGAGCATCAAGACCAAATCTCCTAAAAGTTACTGAATGATTGACTAAAACCAATTTCTAAAACCAGTTTCTAAGTTGCAAGTTACCATATTACAGCTGTTGCTAAGATTTGAAGTGTGATTTGCAATGCATCCCTCCAGCATCCAGAGACTGGTGCATTCAGCAGTTCTGGAAAGAGTCCAGAAATGGCAGCAGGTGCATGAAAAGAAAACTCACTTGCTTCTAAAGGCACACCACCAAACACATTCACATCTAGCTCCACAAATACGAAGATGAACACATAATGACTGATGATCGTTGATAGGATACAAGGTTGCAAAAGATCTGTCCAGCTCATTTTCCCGATTTCAGCTGCGGCCCGTAGCAGGTGGCTAGTGAAAGCACTATGAACAAGACAAGCATAGAATCACATTTATCTTCAAGAGCTAGCCAGAGAGATGTGAAGAAGACCATAACAATGAGTAGCACCCTATACCTGAGCAGAATTGCAACATGACAGCTGAGCTTTTCAGCAAAAGCGGAGGAAATTCTTCTACCTCTGATGTACTGCATGAACACATTGCAGACACGTGCACACAAGCAGTAAAAGCAAAGCAGGGTTGTTTTTTTTTTTCTAACATGCAGTTTTTATGATGAAATACATACTATTCACTCCTTCCCAAAGCCTGTGACAAAGCCTGTCAATGAAATTAAACTGTAACAGACCAGAAACTGGTAAAAGGAAATTTATACTGTATATCAGGTATAATCAACCACCAGAAATCTCAATAGGCTGAGACGTGGGATTAAAAACCTGAGATATTTATATGAATAATAATATTTGCAGTTATATTAGTGCAAAATAAGCCATGCAGACACAAAGGCAGAAACCACCCATTAACTGCCTGAGTCTGAGAACGTTGTTTCCCTTCTAGACATGACAATGTATGATTTTTACTGATAAAGATTTTACACCTTCCTCTGGTGCATTTGGTACTGACAGCTTTAAAGAAGCAGAGGAATGGATTAGAAGCACCTTTGGTTTAAACAGTCCCAGGTTTCTTTTCCTTCAAAATCCCCCTTCCTGATCTATGAGAGTGGTCTTTCCATATTGGGAACAACACTGTGCCAAGTTACTACATAGTCAGTTATTTTTCAAATGGCTTTACAGAGCAAATGCTCCCATGTGAATATTAGAACTCTTCCTCTATGGATGTTTGCAGCACAGGCTGAACCCTGATTCTCACCCAGATATCAGGTTTGTAGAAAAGCTCCCACTGAACTGACCAAGATAAAGATTTGTCCCACTGACTGTGATAGTCCCTTCAGCTTCTGCTCCCATTGTGTAACTAGCAAGGAGTAGACACAGATGTTAGCATTCATTATGCTAATATTTGAGCTGCCTGATGTGCAAAATCACAGGTATAATCCTTTGGTGGATATTTTTCTTTCCTTTCTTGAAAAGAACCATGATAAATGTGTTACTGACATCCTTAAATGCTTTGAGCTCAGCTTAACCTTCCAGAATTCAGAGGCTTATCCAAAGTTTATCTGAAAAACCCATGTTTTAAAAGTGGTCAAGAAGTCTCATCAGGAATTAATTTCAGGGGGATTTCAGGATTTATTTCCTGGGTTTTTTTTGACTGGACGAGAAACAATAAGATACATAAAACTTTTCAAAAGGATTTTAAAAGGGAGGAAAATTATGATTGACAGTAGGTGGGAGTGTGATACTCTGGGAAATGAAAAAGAAAAATCTGCCTTTTATCACACAGGAGTCAGTAGCAGAATCAGTGACTACTCTACTTTGCTACCCCTTATAAGAAAAACAGGCTTTCTGCAGAGATTTCAGGCCTTCTTTTTCCAGATCCATATCTCTTTAAGAATCAGGTGTACAGAGGCTGCAAAGTTTTTAAATATGGATGTTTTTCCAAATTGCCCAGGTATTTCTGAATATCTTCAAAAGCCTATAGTTAGAACAACAGACAGGGGATGTCACTGCTTTATGTGAACCTGCTCATTCACAGCACAGAATTTGTATTTTTGGTCCTTTCCTGTTTTTCATAGACACCCCGTACTAGTACTGAAGTGCTGCTGTTATGTTTTCGCATATTTCCACTAATGTTATTTCCCTGGATAGGTATTACAGGGCTCTGACTGGTTGCCATGAAAGGATTTCCCACCCCCACCCTGCTTCAAATCATCACTAAGTGCTCATGCTCAAAACTCTCTTGTAGGTCCATACTAGAGTTTTGAATGGGACTCTTGAGAACATTAGGTAACAAGACCTTCATTAGAGACTGTAGTGATAGCACAAGGGGTAACGGGTTAAAAATTAAACAGGGGAAGTTTAGATTGGATATAAGGAGGAAGTTCTTTACCCGTTAGGGTCATGAGGCACTGGAATGGGTTGCCCAGGGAGGTTGTGAATGCTCCATCCCTGTCAGTGTTCAAGTCCAGGTTGGACAAAGCCTAGGGTGATATGGTTTAGTGTGAGGTGTCCCTGCCCACGGCAGGGGGGTTGGAACTAGATGATCTTAAGGTCCTTTCCAACCCTAATTATTCTATGATTCTATTCTATTCTATTACCTGAACAATGTCAATCATTGATGTCCTCACAGCATAAATAAAAGAAAGCCACCTCTCTACATGACTGAGCATTTGCTTTTGTTTAAAAGACTTATCAAAAGACTGTCCTGAAGACTTGGCTTTCTTGTGCAGTATTCTGGTTACTTGCACTGGAACCAAAATCCAGGGAAAACAAATAGATGGGATATTTGTAAGGCCAAGAAAATTTAATAGTTGGGCTATTATATATTATAGTTATATATGTATCATCTCATATATATTATAGTTATGCATATATAATATAGTTATAATATGACTTGAGTTCACACCTCAAAATGGACATTTTGGCATGCTGGGCATTCTTACTTGCTTAATCCAACTCAGATTCCCTTTCCTAGAAGCAGATCTTATTTTTAGCAAAGATCTCTTATGGTAACAATTTTTCATTTTATTTGGCTAGTGACGATTCACTGGTTCCTGAAATTCTCCAGCAGGAAGGCAATCCTCACTCACAGCAACAAATCACAGACTCGGATGGGACTCATGGCAGAAGCAGTTACAGAGAAGGGTCATGTATTTGTTGAAACACATCAGCCAAGACACAATTCAGAGAAGCAGGACCAGTTCCTGCTTCTCAGTTGCAATGCTATAAATAAAACCCGGGATAGTCTGCCAGATAAAGACTTCATTGGGAATGATTTCTTGTCAGAGTGAGCTGGAAATCTGCTGTTTACAACCTTAGAAGCTAGTGATTTGTAACCAAGCAACAGATTTGCTGGTTTGCTTGAAACAAACGTTTACAGCAAGGCAGGAGGATTATTTAACTGAGGGCTTTGGGGAATGGAATATTTTCTTTAAAGAAACATTTTAACTATAAAAAAGGTAAAGAGAGTTTTTTATATAAAACCTTTTTACAGTTTATTTCCTATCATTAATTTCTTAATATATATATAAATGAGGATCTGACTAAATGAATCAGGACGTTAAATGATAAAGTTCCGTCCATGTGAACAAATAAATAATTATTTACAATCTTTGGCAAAACAAATGAAATTTCATTGATCTCACTCTCTCACACACACTTGCAAAGAAAAAAAAATGAAAAAAAATTTAAAAAACATCATAAATAATTTACATAGAATAGGAAAATTATGATACAGTCCAAATATTAACATCTTCCTCCCCACATTGATGTCTGTCTCTGACAAAACAAAAAAACCCTACACAGCCATTACAATCACTACATTTAATGAAGTCACCCTCCCTTCTGCTTGGGACATAGGTACACAATTTGAAACACCAAAAGAAAGAAACTGAAACGTTTAAAAACCTTAAAAAAGGGGCAAAAAAAAAACCAAACAAAAGCAAACAAAAAACAGGAAAAAAAAAGTTTGAAACAAATCCTGCCCCCCCCCCCCCCAAAAAAAAAAGATTTGATAATATGAACACTATAAAATGTGCAATAAAGCCAGTAACCGTGGATTCCTTTCTAATGAATATAGCAACAAGATCTATTTCAAGGGAGAAAATTTAGCTCACTTTGCCCTACAAGGTGGCAGAGGTCCTGTATTATTCCATTAGTTAACCCATCTATGAATAAAATTACACCAGTGTGTGTTCTTTTTGTGAAGAAAGCTCATACAACTTAAACAAAACAAGCAAAGTTAAGCATGTTTATACTATTGTATATCTGAGTAACTGTTGTATCTGTTTAGAATAAACACTGGTATCCCTTCAGCATTATTTAAGAAGTTCTATATACAGCAGACATAGGTATCAATACAAAATATTAAAATTAGGGTAACTGGATATATATATTAAGGTTCCATTTATAAATTCCTTATTATTATTCAACTTTAAAGTATACATGAACATAACCCATGAAACTATGCTTAAGTGTATACCATGCTTTGACAAAATCTACATATTGTGATATGCTTTTACAAACAGCTTTAAAATATTATTTGTGTATGTATTACTGATGCATTATATGACATGCTTTAAAATAAATTATCAGAGAAGATAGCTCTGTGTGATAATCTTAATAAATACTAACAAAATATTTATAAGTGGAACCTTAGATTCATACATTACCAAATTAAGTAATAGTGGCCTTGCCACCTTTTCAAAAACCCACATTACGATTCAGGATCTCAAAGTGCTTTTTGCAGCAGAGGTGGGGAAAGTGGTTCAGTTTCATTTTGCTCCACATGGTCACTGCATATTCTTTATTACAAGGGAATGCAAAATATGATGGAAACAGAACAATTGGAAATAAATTTTTGAAAGTCAGACAATAGTGATGGCTTTGCATGCTTACATGACTCATTCTTCCCTTTCACATGGGAGTTTCTAGATTGTGTTTGGCCTGAATTAAGCTCCTACTAGGCTTTAAGTTTCAAATCTGGCATTTCTACCAACTGTAATTTTAATAGGTGTAAAAGCATCTTCATCAGCTAAAGAACATCTTTTTGGATCGAGAAGTGTTCATAGTTGATCTTTATTACTCAAAGGCATTTTCACTGTTATTATAGACACCGTTGGTGTAGCCCTCCATCACTTTGCTAAAGTTAGACCCAGAAGCCTCGTGTTATTGAAGTCCAGTCCTGATCAGAACAAGGAAGTGTCAATCATACACCTAAAAACTTATTCAAACACATTTTTCCTCACTTAATGACTGACAATCATCACCCCCCTCTTTTTCTCCATATATATAAATACATTAAGTAATTACATTTTTATATGTAAACGTCATTCCTTGAAAAAAGACAAATAAAACCCCATGTTTTCACTCTACAGAAGTTTTCTAATGTATCAATCTGCTACTGCTTCAGTGGTGGGTCAGATGCTCACATTTAGGTTTCATTAATCCTGGCTGTGAGAAGGCACTTGGGTGAAGGGATGGCTGAGGCACTCCTGGCAGCAGGGAGGTACCTGGTGGGTGGAGCACGAGGACAGAGGACAGGAGGTACACAAAAATAGAAACTGGGAGTACCAGGATGTACTGAGGTGTCTAGGTTGCATAGCATTTACAGTACTTTGCTGGTAATGCAGCAACCATTGCTCAAGCATCTGAAAGAAATGGGAAAAAAGGTATTAATTGTGATTGCTTTATTTGGTTAGATAGTCAAACACAAGAAAAGAGCTCCATTATGGTACAACCAAGATCCACACAATGTTTTTCCTGTTCTGCATTTTCTACAAATGTGAGAGCACTTACATAAAAATAGGTATCTGCCTGTGTAGCAAGACATACACGTATGTGTATGTGCACCTACATATCTAAATGTATATAAAAATAACATAGAAGAAACCCTGGGAAAGCATTTTCATATTTCAAAACATTTCAGACAAGGCACTATAGACAGACATGCTCATTAAAAAATATCTGCTTTCCCCTTCATGCCTCTTGAATGAGGGATGATCCAGAAGTAGCTCTGCCCGCAGGACACACTGAAATAGCCTACAAAGGAAAGCAAATGTATACAGAGAATTCTAAGAACGTATCTTGCTTAGAGATTTCAATCTCATTTTTTCCAGGTGGGTAGCATTAAAACATCTGATTTTTGTTATTTAAATTGAGATTATTATATGGGCAAAGGGCATTCATGGTATTTCAATAAATCAAGGTTTACTCCATGTTATGATATTACATATTGCTTTCAGTAACTACAGGATACTTTTAGTTTCCATATTTCACTCTGCTCCACAGGTTATCAAAGTCTTCAGCATTCTCCAGACATTTTCTGTAACTAACCTCTGCATTCATATTTGAGGTCAGAGAAATAGACCATCTCTTGAGAGAAGACAAAAAGGCCTAATCGTCCACCAGCAAATGTTGTATCATAGATTGGTCCAGAATCCACCATGACTTGTTTCCCTTCATACACTAAAACTCTGTAAAGAACAACATAATCTAAATTAGACAAGAAGAATAAAACAGTGTTCAGTGTTGCTGACAGTTCCCAAGAACTAAAACAGAATTAATTTTAACAAGGCACCAGAAAACCCAATTGCATTGTAAGAATCACTTCTCATCTCTATCTCACGCCCACCTGGCTGGCAGCCACAACACATTAATCAGAAGCAGTGGAGCTGTTCCATAAGTAATTTCAAGCACACCATCTGCAAAAGATTTCCCAATTCTTTATTTTGAAGTCATGTCTCCTGGAATGAACTATGTCATGTGCTAGCATTCATTGATAAGCCCTTGTCCCTGTGAACACAGAGGTTAGCACAAGACCTTGCCACATCACTTAGCAAAGTCATCTTCACAGCTGTCTGAATGGCTGATTTATTTATCTTTAGGTGCAAGGGCCAACATCTAAAATTGTAAGAACCATCCCTTGAGTAAAACTAAACATTAATTGGAGATATGCTGAATCTCAATTTCAGACATTTTAAGAGCTTAATGATAGCTGGAAGGGTTTGGACACAAATGACTAGACTAATAATAAATTGGAAAAGAAAGAGAACGTGTGTGTGGGGGGGATGTCTGTAGAGGTTTTGGTGGGCTGGTTTGAGTTTTGTTGTTTTAGGGGGAAGAGTTGACTGTTTCTTGCAGTGTTTTGGACACCTAACTTGAAGCCAAAAGACCAAGACATTTCTTCATTTTCCTTCTCTATCAGATAGACTGCAGTTCCTTGAGCTTGGATTCTCCAGTTCTCATGGGAGACCTTGAGATAGTCAAAGTTCTTAGGCTCTCAGTCTCTTAAAATAGCTTTAGGGTCAAATAAGAAAAGACTCCATAGTCTGTTAGTTAAAGAAGTCTCTAGAGGAAGGGATCATGGTACTGCTTCAATTAATACATTAGTTATACAAAGCAGAAATACATGGCTTCATAGGAAGACTAAAACACTTAAGCAACTTCCTGTAAATCAAGGATTAGGGAGATTTCTGCTTAGGATGGAATTCATATACAGCACTTGCTATATCTTAAAGTGTCTTATTTTCTGAAAAGTGCCCAAAGAGAAGTATGAAACTGCATCCTGAAATCTGTATTTAACGGCCTGTAAAAAGAACAGCAAAAAGAATGACAGGTTTTCATATTCAAGTAACCCTATTTAATGTAATCCTCGATATTTCAAAACCCCAAAACATATGGAAAGAGTTTAATAAATCTTTTATCCCACCAAAAAAAAAACAAAACCAAACCAAGAACATGTAGCTCAAAACATGTTAATAAGAAATTGCTACTTTTGTACAAATAAAATGGTTTCATGACTATATTAGTGAAATGATTGATTTTATTATCTATAAAACCACCCTAAAGAATTAAGGAATTTAATGCCCTGGATCATAGACTTTGTCATGCTAGAATAATTTAATGGGTTACCAGTTGAAACATGCTTTGTCTGACACTAAGAAGATTCTGCAAATGAGGATACAGATAACAGCAACATGAATGAAAAACTCAACTTTCCTTTTGACCTGTATCAGTCAATTCTTTGCACTGCAATACTTTCACGCATAAAGAAATTATTTTCTTTCCAAGAAACAGGTAACTTTTAGCAACTTAGTGCATCCAGATTTGTTTACCCTTTCTCTCTTACATCAAAACGAATAACTGCTATAAGCACAAACAAGACCTTAAGAGGTAAGTTCATACTCTGCCACATGGAAAACACCCTTTATAGGTCCTGTAGTTAGTAGAAGATAAAATTGACAGGGACGGTTAATGCTCATTCTTTGGAATATTAGATAAGCAGCTGGGCTCTAAGGAAAGTCATATGACATAGCACCTTGTTGTGTGTATTACAGATGTGCACATAGCTACTTCTGCAGCATTCCATATAAGCCACTATGGGAGACAGGATGCTGAAGTAGACAAGCCATTGGCCTACTTCCCTGTGGCAATTCTGATGGTTCTGATTAATTTCATTCATTCAAATTCCAGAGGCTGCGGAGGAATCTCGTGTTCTAATCTTGCTTTAGTTTTGCTCTGGAATTTTTGGTTCCTTTACAGAAAAGCTTTTTTTTTCTTTTTTCCCAGAAATTTCTTGCTTTCTTTAATTCAATAATATTTATCTGATGTACATACTGAACCATCCAGACTAAATTGAAAACAGCTGAAAAGAAAAATAACTTAGAATAAGGGTAACAAAATGCCCCCAAAATACTATAACAAACTGTCACACAAGTATTATCATTATCAGAACTGACAAAGAAACTGATAGCATAGCTCTTATACCAAGAGAGACAAAAGTTTTGCTACTAGAAAATAGAGGTGCAGAAACATTTCTTACTTTATTAATCCTGTTTTAGGTCTATGAATCAAATGCCACCGGTAAGCAGTATAATCTTTCCAGCCAATGTTCTTGGGATCATGCCACAATGTGCGCACCTACAGTAGGAATACAAATGGCTTATTAGAACAGACTGTGCTCCAGTACATCCACTATAGAAACTGTACTTGCAGCCAAAGCTCATTTGCTGCAGAGCATGAAACTGAAAATAGTGTTTAATATTCAATGGTATGATCCCCAAACCTCTCTTATAGGGGCAGAGTAATGAATATTTACATCTTAAATTATTGATCAGTTACTCATCTGTAGTTTCATAGCTGAAGTCACTGAAGACCATTACAGCATCAAACCTGACTTCCCTTAGGAAGTCCTGCCTTTGTTTGCACATACACACCCATGCTGCCAGAGTCAGTGTTAACTTTCCTATTTGTATGAGTGACTCCACCAAAGAAGAGGGATTGCAGCTTGCACAGATGTTACTGCCTGTGGTCTGCTCCTTGAAATTGCTTCCACTCAGTCAGGGTCCTCTTCCTGCAAGGAGCCCCTAAGTTCTAAATTCCCATCTACACACAAAGCTCCACTAATTTCCAAAAGGCATGAATTTCTTCCACGACTGGGCCCTATTTGGAGCAGCGCCAGTTTTTCCTCACTGTTTTCATTTATTTTCTCTTTGGCTGTCACTGGCTACTGAACTCCACGTATAATCGAAACAAGCTGGAACGCCAAAGAAGCAAGTGCCAATACAGAGTTCACAAAGGATTTGTGGATAACTGAGACCTCTCACTCCTTTCTTTGGACCACATCACATTTTCCCTTTTGTAATTTTTTCCACTTATAGTTTTTTATACTTGTAATGTTTTCTTTGAAACACAATGCAAATATTATTGACACTAGTAATGTGGGAATTGAAGAAAAGCTGATAAATGTCTACAAAAACTGAGGTGGGAAAAGAAATTCTTTGAGACACCTCCCTTATTCTTAAAATAGTTGTCATGCACTGTTGGCCTGAAGTTTTAAATCTCTCACCTGTCCAGGTGTGTTTCCTGTGTGCCAGAGGGCATTTCTCAAGTGTTCACCAGCACCAGTTGTTGAATTTACTACTTTGAGTGACACACCAGAATAGCCATAAGCCCTGGTGGGCTTGTCCTCCCAGTAGGTTTGAGTGACCTGCTTCCACATGAGAACATAAAACCGACTGCTGGACTGGTAGCCAAACACAAAGCCAGCATAATCATCATCACGATCTGTGTTAACATAGAATGTCCCACTGAAGTCAACAGAGCTGAACTCATCATAGCCTGGGAGAAGACAAAAGCGACAAACCATTGAGTTACCATGCTGAGCCCAGCCACCCACACCAAAGAGTGCCAGGTCTATCCTGAGTTTTGCTAGAAGTCATAAACTATCCTTTTGAGTTTTCTTACCTGTAGGAGAGGAAGTAATTACACTTGCCTACCTATTACATGGAGGCTTCTGGAGGGAAATAAGTTGTTTACAAGGGACATTGAAGACAGCAGGCACTATACTTATATCAAGTTCTTCAACTGGGTATTTTATGTGTGTTACAGTCAGTAATCAGATAAATAGTCAAAGGCAAACAGCATTGACCTGGTTTTCATTTGGGCATATACATTGTTCCCATACTTGCTTGCAGCACCAAAAAGGTGTGTTTATCTACCTTTTTACTTTTTCCTTTCCTTATCACCAGATCACTGGTTCGTTTTCTGAAGACAACACCTGACTTCAGATACTCACCTACAGCTATTCCAGGATCAGAGTTGGCAGTCTGTACCAGTTCCTTGCCTTGGTGGCGAATAACCCAGTTGGGATCAATCTGAGCTGTTCCCTTGGGGTCCAGTGGGACCATCTGGAACTTTCTGAAATCAGTCTCACTTATAGCATTGTTTTCAGGGCAAACATCATAAATATCTGGGACATTGTCATCGTCAAAGTCATCTTTGCAAATATCACCTCTGCCATCACCTATAAGCAATGTGAATAAACAGATGCAATCGTTAACAATTTATCCAGCCTTCCTAGGAGCTCTCCCAGTGATGGAAGAAATTTATGATAAACATAAGTATGTTATTCTCTTGTTTCTCAAAGAACACTCCGAATGACTCCAAAGAAAACTTCATTCTCTAAAAGTCAATTTGATATTTTGCTGGTAATGACTGGAAGAAATCATCAACTTAGATCAGGGCCAAAATCGTCAATAAACTGTCCTGTCAGTGGTTTATGACAATGATCAATCTGGCCCCAGACCACATGCTGCTTTGGAATCAGGGTGGGAAAAGTTGGAAGTTTACTATGTCTATGTAATTCACTAATTCTTGTATTACATTTTCAGTTTGATTTGTCCCAGATGTGGATACAATGCCACATTAATATGTGCAGTGTAAATGAATTCAAACAATAGCATTAAAAACTTAATCTTCCTGCACATTGCTAAATCTGTATATACTATTGAAGATATTAAATATTTTCAGACTTTTATCTCTGTCTCAAGATTTGTTCCATCTAAGGTGCTTCAGACTGCAGAAGTGTCACCCAGATGTCAAAAGAAAGTGGAGACAGTATTGCAGTAAAATACTGCAATATTTTGTAGTATTTTGAAAGACACTCTTAGTCCTTTACTCGTGGGTAGAGCAACTTGTCTTAAAGAAAACGTGGTGCTTCAGAAAAATGTAAGAAAAAATAAAGAAGCACTGTATCCAATAGGACTAGCCTTGGAGAAATGGAAATCCTAAGTTTTGTTACATGAATTGCATAAGTTTTTAGAGAACCTAAAAATACATCCATAGAGTTCAGCTACAGTTGTGCTTCTGCCCAGTACTTTTACTATACTCAGTATTTCTGAAAAAAGACAAAAAATTATTTCCTTTCTTAATTTACCAATAATATTGGAGAGATGCCTTGCCTTGAACAGTAGGTGTGGAAAGAAGGCATCTAAAAAAAAAAACTCATTGCCAATGCCACTATTATTCAGTGGCATATAACAATACAAACACTTGAAAATATAGCAGAAAATCTTTGCTAGACAAGTACAGAAACAAATTTGCAAATGGCTCCAACTTTTATAACAGAAACCACTGGATATTACACTGGGTACTAACATAAAACCAGAACTGTCAGCTAATTTGTTTCTATCCTCATGCAGCTGTGCAGCTGCTTTTAAGGTATTTGTGACTGCTCTAAGAACATGGGAATTAACACAATAGGAAATAGCAATGATCCAGCTCATTCAATACTGACCTGCTACTAGATGCTTCACAGACAAATGGAAAGCTACATAATTAAGCCTAACCAGCACAGCATTGTCCAAGTATAAAGCTTTCACAGAGAAAGCAGCAGAATGAGCTTTAGGCAACAGCCAAAAAAAACCAACACAAAAAAGTCAGGAAAAGATGAAGCATCTAGTATCTCAAAGACACTCTGCAGTTCAGATACATGATAAAATGGTCCCATTTTCCACTCTGGCAATCAGCCATGGAGAACTTCAATCCTGACCAGCTGTGTGCTCCTGCACCTGTTTGTCTTGGTACTTATTGGAGAAAAGAGAATGAATTTCCAATTTTATTCTCTTTGCCAATATGAAAGAGGTAATTCTTGAGTCACAGGAGAATCTAATTATTTGCTGAAAAGTCCTGCTGATGTTCATTTGGTACTGAGCTGCTGCTGACTACATTGACTCTATGTCAAGGAAAGTTAGAAAGTGTTTGTTTACCCAGCCATGTCCAAGAGCTCTCTCCAGAGCCTCATCTTCATATGCTATAGCTCACATCTTCAGAGCATGGGAGCATCTTTTGGCTTTATTTATTGCTTTTCCAAGACTTCTGTTGGACCTACCACTAATGACAGTGATGAGCTCGCTAAACTGTTTATATTTATGCTTTTTGCGATCCTTACTCCATACTTAAATGCAGCCTCCCTCAAGACCCAGATGACAGATGACTACAACAAGCTATCCCAGTTTGGGGGCACCTTTATTCTGAAATACTTCTGAAATTAAGGGGTGATTCCAGAGCAAGTACAACTATATTCCAAATATATAATTGGACTGAAGGGTTAAGTAATTTAAAAACTACTACTGACTACAAACTTCCTACTGCCAGAGGGAAAAGAGTCAGTGCTCAGAATTTTATCTTTCTAAAGGTACCTAAAACTGTATTGTGTAGGTACCAAATTCTTCTTCCAATCTCACCATGGAATGACTCCAGCAAGCTGTATAACTCAGAACAGAAATTGCTCACCTGTATTTACTACAAGGGCCATTACTTGTAGACATACTATGCTGGTTTTCAATAGATCATAAATGTTTTCTAAATGACATTTATGATTATGAAACTGTCATCACTATTTCATTACTGAAATACCGCCAAGCACAGAGAAAGGCTGTTTGAGAGTAACCAGCAACATTTCACCACAGAATTGGAGAAAAGAACAATTGTATATCCATTTTTTGAACTGTGATATGACTATTTTAAAAACAGACATGTACATCGTTGAGACATATTTAAGGCTACTTATAAAGCAAATTTGAGAAAAGCTGCTCACAGAAACTCTTTTTTGTTGTTGTTGTTGTTGTGTTTTTTTTTTTTACCAAAACAGTTAAAAATTAAAAAGAAGCTTAGACCTAAAAAACCTGGTGAAATAGTCTGGTTTTCAAAATAAAGCAGAGCAGTAAACCATATTCTTTTCTTATTCTGATTTTCAGAATATAATGTTTGGAAAGAAAAACAGCTAATTTTTAACTTTTTAAAACTTCTATTTGAAATATTTTCCCAGATTTTTAATATTTCAATTCAAAGGGAATATCATAAGTACACAAAAAAAAAGGTTTTTTTTCTTTTTGTATTTGTTAAAGATGTTCTTCTGTTCTACTGCTCTGACCCTGGACCAAACTGGACAGTTCAGTTCCACTGAAGTCGATAGTGTCTCAAATGTCAAAAACAGCATGGTTTGAGCTGAAGTCTCTCTCTTTATCATATATTAATAATCCAAGATCATCGGATACTAAGAACTAAATTAAATAGATATGCTATTGTTCTTACCATCAGAATCCTCCTGCTCAGGGTTGTATCTAAGACGACAATTGTCCCTGTCATCTGGGACACCATCATTATCATCATCAGGATCACAGGCATCTCCTTTACCATCTTTATCATGGTCAGCCTGGTTTGCATTGGGGATGTAAGGGCAGTTATCCTGGTTGTTCTGGTGGCCATCTTCATCTATGTCCTCATTGTTGTCACACTGGTCACCAACAAGGTCATTATCTGCATCAGTCTACCCAAAAAAATTTGAAGAGTAAATTTATTAGGGTTACTAAACATTTTCAAACTAGTATGGCCACTTATCCTGCCATCAGTGCACAAGATCTGGTCCCAAAGACATTTCCAGGGCAAGTCTTTGGCCACAATCATCTTCATTGTTCTCATTCTAGAGATCACAGGGGAGTGTCAGTCTGGGCAGCACATTTTCTTATTGCTTCTGTACACTTGACATTACTTATCTGCACATCAACCAGCAAACTCAGACATATCAAATGTAGCCCTGAGGCTGTAATCACTTGCCATGGGACAATAAAGCAGTTCACCAAAGGCTTAAAGATGAATTGAAAGACATCATCACTCTTACTTCCATTTCATCTACTACTGCTACTGCTGAACCCAGAACAATCTGCTGCAAAGAGATCTGACAACCTGAGATGTGAATATTAGCAATACAGGTCCTCTTCTTCAGCTCTGCAGTAAACAGGGACTGATAACAATTTTCATGTTCTTTTCTCTACTCTTGTTCTGATATTACCATTAAGGAAATGATCTCTAACATTTACCTGGTCTGGATTATGCATCAAGGGACAATTATCACACTGATCACCAACTCCATCACCATCTGTATCACTCTGGTCTGTGTTATAGACGTAAGGACAATTATCTCGTTCATTAAAAATGTCTATGAAGGAAAAAAAAAAAAGGAAAAAAGATTGAAAAGATCAGAAAAAATCAGAATGATATAGCATCCAGCACAGCCAGCCACACACACAACTGTAGGAGTCACTAGTAAAGAAGGAAGGCTCTTAAGGGGTTCACAAGTTTTCTGACTACTGCAACATACTGGCATATCTCTCTGGAAAGGATAAAAGAACCCTTTCGTATATTATATGGCCCCTGGATGTTTGCATAATTTTTTCAGCCAATAGCATATGATTACACTTCAAATTTTCTTCAAATTCAGATCTATCTCTAAGTATTACTAAGAACCTGAAGATCGCAGGGATGAGACGACTTCAAAATGTTCAGAAGTTCAAGTCAAATAAGCATCCAGAAGTTTAAACTGTTACTGAAGGAAATACAAAACTGGATTCCTTCAGCTTCTAGTACTTCCTTATTCTCACAATTTTTTGAGAGACATTTAAGTGCTTTCCTCCCCTCCATAAATCTGATCAAATATGAGTTATATAGGCATGCACTGGTAGATGAAATAAGCACCTTTAGTATTATTTTAAGACACACAAAAATGTGTATTTGGATTACTGTGGGCTTTGCTTTACACTTATAGCAAAGAGGATTGATTTCCTACAGGCATTGTCTTAAATGCCTGGATGTTCTGATGCTATTTTACCTCCCTAAAAAGGAAAAAAGAAGTCAACAGAAATGTTATATTACACACTGATTACTTTGGAACACAGACAAATATTTTTTTCTTAGGGTTACACTGATAAAAGACTTGCTGTGAATTATTCTTCGATAATATTCGTTGTAGTTATCTAGGGACTTTCTGGCGACACAGAACAGATGAAATTCAGGTCTTCTTTTCTGCCTTTTTGAGCTGCTATGCCCAATTTTATTCCATGTATAAAAGCAGGTAGCCCATCTTACTGGACATAAAGCAAAGTATACTCATGGAACAGCATATAATTTGCAAAATTGAAAGCATACCATCTCCATCAATATCCACAGCACATGAGTCACCCTCCCCATTATTGTCTGTGTCAATCTGAGCAGGGTTGTGCACATAGGGGCAATTATCACAGCGGTCACCAACTTCATCCTTGTCATAATCGAACTGACGAGGGTTGAACAGAAGAGGGCAATTGTCCTAAGTAAGAAGAAATAGAAGATTTCAGAATATAAATCACAACTCATGTGAGCATACTATGAAGTGGTAATTCTTCCTTTTAGGCTTGGACAGAGGCCAAAAAAAAAAAAAACCAACCAAAAATCAAACTATTAATTTACATTTTTTTTAATGCACAAGCTGTACTTTCACTGAAAATCTTGGTGGTAATGGGGTGTCATCTGGACAGACTGATTCACTAGCTGGTTTAGTACATGATGTGAATGTGTTCATATATCACTAGGATAGCAATAGGCATTTTAAGTTGAATCTCTATTCATATTTCAACAAAAGTGTATTACTTGTACGTGCATTATTTTATTAAAAAAGACAAAACCAGAACATGTTGCAAAATCAGGCCAATTTCAGCTGCATTTTATATTTTCTGAGAAAAAAATAATTATTACTCTGAGGGGTTTTTTTTGGAACAAACTAGCAATAATATTCTCACTTTTAAAACCACATATTTTGATTTTTCAATTTAAAAAAGGATCAACTTTTTTGTGGGTTCTGCTATACTGTGTATGATAGTAAGATGTAAAATGTTTCAAAAAAGCAAAGTTAATTTTAAATACTATCATTGACTCAGAATATTTTTTCCCTGGGACCATGCCTTTTAGGGGAATTTTGAAAATTTTTTTTAGTTTGTTCCCTAATTTGGAAGTTTGCCAGAACAAAAACTCTTATGTTTCACACATCCTCAAATTACACATGGGCTTTTGCAAAGGCACAAGGAAGTACTTGGTGTGGAAAGCAAAGAACAATAAAACCAAACCTAATTAGTTTTAGTGAGGGTTACATCAGCATCATGGAATCTGAACAGAAGTCATATGGAAAAAAAATTGAAACTCTTTTTTTTCTGCTAAAGCAAAAATGATTTACTAGGAAATAGCCTTTTCACACATTTTAAATTCCTCAGAAATAAATTATATACTCGAGGACAAGATGTAGTGGCAATTAAAAAAATATATTGTTCATAAAACAATTGTTCTGGCTACAATTTTTTTAAATCTATGTACTAAATCATATTCTTTTATCAAATTATTCTTTTGTTTTTGAAATCTTCCAAACAGAAACATTACATGAACACAGGCCTAACCCAACTTTGACCATCTGAAGCTCTAGGGCATCTAGGCTTCCTCTGAAGGAAATAAAGAGGCGCAGTGAACTCCTAAAACCAATTCACTCATTCTCAACATGTTCAGAACAGGCAGGGTGAATCCCACTCTGGTGGATCCTCTGTCCTTTTGCTGGATGTGCAGGGAGAACAAGTTTAGACTGACTGTCTACCTTTTGGACTCTACGGGAAAATTAATTTCAGTTTTGCTGGCAGATGTAGAGGAGTAAAGTATGAACCAGGCTAGGTACTTTTTCCCTGTCATTTGCCATTGATGCTGGCTGTGTTTACAGTTGTTATTATTACCCATCATCCCTTGTTTCCAACATAGCTCAGATGTAGTATTTACCAGCTTTTCAAATACGACGGACCTATCATCCTCCCATTGCAAAATACAGAAGCCAAAGCTACTGGTCTGTTTTTATGCACACAACTGAACCCAGAACTGATATGGAGAACATAATTCACACCCAGGTTCCCCAGGCTGCTTTGCTCTTCACAGTGCTACTCTCCTTTGACCAAACACAGCTTTACCATGTACCAGATATCATCCAGGAAAGGCAGTGCAGAGTAACTCAGCTGAAGTTCTGGACAATAAAGCTCTCATCTATTGTAATGGTTTTTGTTAAAGCCAGTTGTTTAGGTCAAGTGTACTGAAGACACAGAAACATATCTTACTTTGTCATCTTCAACACCATCATTGTCATCATCCTCATCACAGGCATCTCCTTTGCCATCTTTATCAAAGTCTTCTTGGCCAGAATTAGGCAGAAGGGGGCAGTTATCCTGGCCAAAAGAAATAATCAGTGCATTATGTTTATATTATGTCAGAATGACTTGCCTGGGCAAAAAAGTAGATATGCTACACCAGAGACTATAAAACAAGATCAATCACAAATACTTTTTAAAGTGCCTGTTTGTTTGCTGCCAAAGATAGTAGTTCATTTGCTGCTTTCATATTGTAAAGTAAGTGAAATGCATCTGCAAATCATTCTATTTCCCACCTCTCCTGTCAAAGCAATGTTTCCAGTAAATTTAAGATGAAACCATCTAGCAGAGAACAAGCACACCACATGCACACGCATGAACTCTTACATCAACTTTTTATAGACAACTCATGAAGTTTGTTTGAAGATTACAAATAAAATGACCAGGTTTGGCTGCCAGAAAAATAACGACACAAGCCAGGAGATGATCTTCAGAAATAGTTGCTCATATGGAAAGTTACTGTAACAAAGTAGTATGAAGCAATGAAGGGGCACACTGTTAGAAAGGGGTTTGGAAAAAGTGCCTTTATACTGTTCAGCAGAGTACCTTGGCAATCTCATGCTCCCATAGAATTGAAAACAAAAGGCAAATGAACCTCCATTTTGTATCACAGCTTTGTAAAGAACAATTAAATGAGCAAGTCTTACGTTACACTGAAAAAAAAAAAGAAGTGGTTTATCAAAATTTTAAGATGTATTCCATTTAAAAATACTAGAATCAGCTAAAAATTGATTGCAATTCAACCACTGGCTAAGAATATGTCTGTTATTCTCACCCATCACATTCTGTGTCTACTGTATCAAAACTGAACCTGCCAACTGCATGCAGAAATACCTTTTTCGTAACACATACCTTAAGAAAATTAATACCATAGTAAGATTCCTAGCCATGTTTTCAATCTCAGTGCTTCTAATAATGTAAGTAATTCAAGTAGACGAGAACTAGAAAATTTGTGATAAATATCAAAATCCCAATGCAACTCCAATTTTTATTTTTTTTTTTTATGGCACTTTTATGCCAAATACCTGCGAACAGCCTGACTCAACCAACTCAACATTGGTTGCCAATGATACAAAAAAATCCTTATTTTGAAATAGTGAAAGAAATTAGTTGAAGCTTTCCCAATCACTTTGTATGTTTGTATTTATGTATTTCTTTCTGCATTCTCTATAGATTTGAGTCCAGTTTCATCCAAATCAAGTAGTAAGGTAGAGACATCATGGGCAGCAAGCTCCTATAAACTTAAGAAAAGGAGATAACAGGACAGAGAAGAGAGATCCTACCAGTGCACTCTAGAAATTTGTTATTAAGATACTAGAAAGAACTTAGACATCGCACCTTCCACCTGGGAACTCAAACCTTGAGGCACAAACCTAGTGGAAAATAGGCATCTCTAGTTCACCTATTGACAAAGTTGTGTGTTGGTATGACAAATATTAATGAAAAAATTATACTTTCATGTGAATGAAAATAAAATTCACACTAAAAGATATTGCTAAGGTTTTGTTTTTATTTACATCTACTTGCTTTATACATATAGCTTTGATTAGACAATAAGTTAATTTTCAATCATTATTAGCTGAAGAAAGCAGCATTGTTTTTTCCTTTTTAATTGAGTTACTCAACCTCAGTATTTCATAATGAATATAAATACCTGAAAATACCTGCCTTTTTTAAGGTTTTTTGGAAGGGCTGGAAAGGGAGACCTTAAATGAAATACTTGTGTCTATTAGAATGACACATATATTAGAGAAACCATGAATCAACCTTTGGAAACAGTTTTTCTAATGGGTTAAGCATGTTGATTTTTTGTGAAAAGTAATCCTTTGCTTTACATCTTGAGTCAATATGTTGCAGATTCTGATGACAGGAACTGAAAAAGAATACATGCACTGCAATTGCTCAATTGTCTGGATCCACAATGAACAGACATCGACTACAGTGAGGAAGATCAACATTTGAGGCTCAAATTTCCACCAGAAACTATCCTGCTGATAAAGCCTAGACTCACAAGTTCAAAAGGATTACAATCGAGTGACCTGATTCTCTCAAACAGCCTGTTTTCAAACTTTTCCTATTCTCTTGATTTGTATTTGGTTTTTTTTAAACCACTGGAGTGGTCTAGAACTCAAGTAATTTGGGTATTTCTTTCCTCATTTTTTAAGTATCCAAGCACGTTCACCTGCCAGCTTAATGAAAGCAACCACCAGCTTGATGCTGAGAAGTGTTACTCAACTATTTAGAAAAAGGAGAGAAAATTTGTTTATTGCACAGCATTTTCATCAACTTTTTTCACTTACCTTGACACAATGATATGTTGCATTAGCAGCACAGACCAAGTTATTATTAGGCCAGCCATCCAAATCTGAATCCTCACCACAGATGCGCCCATCACCAGCATATCCCGTCCTGCATTCACATTTGTACATAGGATCACTGAAATGGCCCAGATAAATGCACTCTGCAGACTTATGGCAGCTGTGCGTCTTGTCCTTGCATGGATTCTCAGGTTCACAGACCTGTAAGAGACCATATTCACTGAAACTTGATGATACTCACAGTCAGCTGTGTGCACCTCAACTTTGTCAAAAATCAGGACAGTTATTCAGATGCCTAAAGACAGGAACCTCGCTTTAACTGTGGTTAGTAAGTTACACTGCTCTGTCAGCTCACGACTCCAAACAGTGTGTACAATGAAAATAATTAAAACAAACCACAGGAAAAATTGGACATTATTCAAAAAGCAATTAAAGTGTGAGATTAACATTTTCAGAACTCTGCTTTCATCCAGATGTCATTAATCCCTGGAAATTAACTGCAACAGAAAGTAAAATATGCTCACCTCCTTCCCTTCAGTCTTTTGCCTGTCAGTATGCAAGGACTATCTTATTTTCTTAAATCAGAGACCTTAACGAATTCTCATGTACAACAAATATATTTTCATTAACAGTGTCTGAGAATCTCACACAGATGTTCTACATTTAGACTTCACACACTGAACTACCCACAGATTGTTTCAACAGCAACAAAGGCATCCCATGACATCTGTTTTAACATTTTTTGTCTTGTCTATCAAACCATAGTCTTCAATATTACTTCCACTTCTGTTTTTCACCATTAAGAGGTGTTGTTTTATGGAGTAAGAACTTCAGACATATGTCTAATGACATCCACATTCTCAGCATTATACCTATGGAGAGAACGATACTGATTCTTCAGTTTCCAATCCCCAGAGTAGGCATGTACACTTTAGAGAAAGGAGATCATAGCAGGGGAATGCTTGTTCCTGGCATTTAGCACTCATTTGGAACAACTGTGTAGATGCCAATGGAAATAAAACCCTTAAAAAAATCAACTTGAAATTCAGTGTTTTGTTACTCAAATCCAGAATACTCTGAAACAGCATTTATCTATTTCAGTTTATCTTTGGTACCTAAGTTTATCACATGCTTCCATTCATAGATATTTTCAGGTGGGAATTAGTTTCAAAACCCTCAAGTTCTCTTCAACATCACTCACTTGCTTCTCTGTCTTGGCAACTTCCAGCCCTACCCCATAGGGCTGACTTCCTTTATAGCGCGGAGGACATGGCAAGCAGTGGAAACCTGGATTTGTGTTCACACAGCGATGGACTTGATTCACCTTGAAGCAAATGTCTGACACAGCTATACACTGCAGGAAAAGAAAGAAGAAATCAATGAGATGGCTATGTAATTCCCAAATAATGAAAATTTTAGTGATTTCCTGATGTTGATGGGAACAAAGCCAGTACCTCATCAAGATCCTCACAGGCAGTACCATTGCCAAGGTAACCTGCTGGGCATGGCCCACATGACCAAGACCCATCTGGGTAACTGTTGCACTCTGCTCCCGGAAAGCAAGGATTTGACAAACACCCATCTGGCAAAGACACATAAAAGTGTATATTAAGTTAGGAGCATAAAAGGCATATAAAATTTCATTTAAGAAACAGGTATTCTCTATTCATTAGCTTAGGACCCTTAGAATGATGGTTATTAAATTCATTTAATATAGTATTGATTTAATTCTATAATATTAGATTGCTACATCCAGTTGAATACTTTACAACATAGAGAAGTCCTGTTTAAGAAATGCATCCTTGTTCAGAAATCAGTATTAAGAATATTTATAAAAATCTCCATGACCTAAAAAGTACCCTAAATAGTCAAATACCTTTTCCTGAAACAAAGGTATAATTAGTTTTCTATAGTTTCGATTCATAATTATCCATTAAAGAAATGGCAACAATTAGTCAGACTGCATAAAGAATGACTAAACACCAACCAATTGGGCAATCCTTCTTATTGCACATATCATGTTGCTTGGTATCTCCCACACACGGCTTTCCTCCATACAGTGGCTCTGGACTGTTGCAGAGGCGAGACCTCTCACGAATTCCTCCTCCACAGGTAACAGTGCAGGCAGACCATGGAGACCAAGGACCCCACCGGCCATTCACTAGGACATGCAGAAAAGAAAAGAGCATCACAGGCAGTATAGTGGGGACAACATTTGATGCCATAACCCTTTCTTCAGATTCTTGACAGAAGACAGTTTCTCACTATGCTCATAGAAAGAAAGATGCTGGCACAGTCTTACACTGAGATAGCAATGTTTCAGAAACAAACAAACAAAAAAATACCCAACTGCTTTACAGGCATTTTTTGGCCAGCAATTCAAAACAACATGCTGTGCCCAATGGCATGGTGCATTTCTATTTAAGCTGATGAGAAAAAATACAGTGTCTTCAAAGCTCCCTACTAAGCTTCAATTTTTTGCACAGAAAGCAGAGAGTGATCACAGGATACAAACTTCTGCTGAGCCAGACCCGAGCTTTGTGGCTTTTTTAATAGCAACAGTATTCTCACAGTATTCTCAGTAAGGTTGCAGCTATCATTTTTGTTTTGTCATCCATTCAGTGTATCTTCAGCAGTATTCCTTGACTCAGTATAAATAACCTGTTGATTGTTGTGCATGTTTTGTATTGGTAGAACTCTACTGATCATTCGTTCATTAATTCTGAATTTTCTCAAAATACAAACATCTTTGAACCAAACTCTGGGTGTGTTCTTGGTATTGCAAAAAAAACATAAGGGCCATGGTTTGTGTCCTTAAATAACCTTTTCACTAAATTCGCATGCACAGCTAGAACAAAAAAAAAAAGTGAACATAACTATTTAAGTACTATCAGATTGGAAGCTTGACATCATTTTCAAGCTCATATTCTGTAAGTAGAATGGAAAGACTGAACAGAGGAAGGAACAAATAAATACATATAAAGGGAAAAGAGTGATGGGAAAAATATATGAAAGAAAAATGAAAGTGAAAAGAGTGAATGGTCTCTGAAAAGATTAAGGAGTGGAGATGAAGAAAATTGTAACACTTGAGTTGAATATGTGTAAAATATGTATACACACTTTCAAAGAAACCTGACCACTAAGGGACTGGATGTCTATTCCGAACATGTACAATTCCTTTTTAGATAGTGTTTGTACTTTTGATATACAGAGATAAATCACTAAGTTATAAAATGAAAATTTCTCAAACTCTTAATGTTTAAAGCCAAATCACAACTTGGGAGGTTTACAAAACCTCTGACTTCATTGCCGTCTTGATTTTAAGAGCACCCTTGTGTGTTATTTCAAATCAAGTTATAAATTATATTATTTCAAACCAAGTTATAAATTATATTTTCCATCACAGAAATTCACTGTAACTTAGACCTAAATAAAGAGAGAAAAATTAGCTGGACTATTATTGCATCGCCTTGGATTCAAGGCCACAGACATACCTGGACATGGAACCTTCTCGCACTTCTCTGTTTCACGCCCATTTCCCACACAGTTTTTCCCACCCATCTGGGGAATAGGGGAATTGCAGAGGCGGATGCGGGTGATATTTCCTACTCCGCAGGTAACTGAACAGGAAGACCAGGGAGACCAGTGACTCCAGCCACCATCTTGACGTACTGTGAGAAAAGACCAAAACTCAAGAAACAGCCCACCTGCAGCAGTAATGCAAGCTCACTTGTGAAGTTAACCTTCATATTAAGCCTCTCACAACATCTGATGAATGCCCCGTGTCGTTCCTACCACTGTCACTTGTACAAAGCACCACATAAGTTCAGGCATTCAAGTACAGCTTTCTTAAGAATCTCAGCGACCAATATATGACTGATATGAATGTTATATATTTAAACATTTTAATATTTAATATTAAAAATAAACTTGTTCCTATGAAATAACTTGTTTAAAATGTACTTTTGGAGATCTAGCAGCTTCAGCAATAGCCTTATGTACTAAAGTGGCCTATATATATCAGCCAACTGCAACAGTATTAACTACCTGGAGTATGATTTTTTTAAGTGCCTTAAATGTAAAAGCAGTTTAACATTTTGCAAAAGTCTATCATTACCATACTTCTAAACACTACTAAGCTAATGGGATGGGCCGATAATTGTGAATGAACAGCATATTAAAACATGGCCCCATGTGTCATGACTATGAACTCAGCATTGTCTTGAAACTCACTTCAAACGAGACTCCTGTTCAGAGAATCATATAATGGTTTGGGTTAGAAGGAACCTTAAAGATCATCCAGTTCCAATCCCCCTTCCATGGGAAGGGACACCTTACACTAGACCAGGTTGCTCAAGGCTGTTTCATAATGTTAAAAAAAAAATGACCCACTGTTTTATGCTTAACAGATCTAAGCCCAGATGCACATACATATTGCACTGTCAGGAAAAGAAGAAATATTTGACAGGGGTGAGAGGACAAAGAATGTAACATTAGCTACTTTAAATATGCATACATGAGTGCTTGAATACATACTGCCCTGACTAGTGAGCATTCATAGGAAACCCAGACTAAGCTTCTAAGTTTGTTTTTACTTAGAGATGCCCAAAGAAATTTAAAAAAAATGAAATGGAAAGGAGAAATTTTATTACTTACTGCGATGGTCACATTTCTTAAAGCTGCACATCCTTGTCTGGATGTGTGGGCCTGTACAAGCACTCCTGGTCACATCACATGACCTTCCTCGCATCTGAGTCCCAGAGCCACATGTAACTGAGCACTTCGTCCAGTCTGACCATGGTGACCAGCCTTCCTCACTGTCATCAGCTGCAGAACAAAAGGTAAGAAGACCTGCTTAGCATCACTAATATCCTACTCAGAAGATTTTCATTTCTCTTTCTGTAGAACATGAACTTCGCCCTTAGATCTCTCTTTTTCTAATTTTGCTTTCCCAAACTGCTGCTGAACTTAGGGAATTATAATTTAATGTAATGAGAGGTTAGCCCAGGTAAGAATACTGGATCTTCATGAACTTGCTTGCAGTGCTTGTATGAGGTGCTGACCTTTGGAGGAAGAACATTTTATCTCTAGAAAAGACTGAGCCAAAAATTTGACTTCCCAACTGCCTCTGATTTCATAATACAGGTCAGTATAATGAAATGTGGCCCCACCTCTTAACACAACATAACAGCATGCATGACCAAGAGCACACTGTAAGAGTATACTCTATGCTCTGAACAGGCAAAAAACCTGAGTATATTACAATATGTTTTTATTTAGAGCATCTAAGCAACCATCATCTTCTGTAACTGCCCTGTCTAGTACACTGAAGTCACTTAACCAGTGAAACTATTAAAACTGCTGTCTCTCTAAAGCCTAGTTCACAGCCTGCAACGCCATCTTAAATGTGGAACAGATTGTCAAGGTTTATAAGTAAAGCAATATGACAGAGAAGGAATAAAACTGAGTAAAAGAATTACAGTAACAAAGAGGAAAAAATAACTTGCACTCTTAATAAAACAACAGTGCACAGTGCTATTGCAAACCAACAAAAATCAGAATGTCCAGACTTGGGACACACAACTGGGGAGGAGCACATATCTAACCTTTAGTTTCCAACTTAGTTAGGCAAGTTATCAGCTTACTTCTAAGCAACCAATATAATCACAGAAGAGAGACCAACTCCTTCAGAAGGTAGCTTCAAGCAGTCAAGTTACTTCATATGATCTTTACGTACATATAAGTTTTATATTTGATCTCACCTGCCTTTACCTCTTACTTGTTTTGACCTTTCCAACACATTAGTAATGATTCCAAATATTGCCAGAGAGTATCCTTCTCTTTGGCTAAATACTCACAATGAGAGCAGACTGGACAGCATTCACCTTCAACAAAAGATGGATCAGCACAGGAGACTGCTGGGCAGGTGATTTGATGGCATACAACTTTAGAATCCTACAGGCAAAGAAAGTAATTTACTGACATGCTCACATCCAGAAGCATATAAAGGTTAGCATCTGGGGAAATTTCATGTATGGAAATTCAAGCTATTCTGTCATGGACATGGGGACTACTTTTTAAAAATAGCAAGTTCTTCAGTAAATGTGACCTGACCTGGACAGTTGGGCTCAATTAAACCCACTACCCATTCCTGCAAAAGAATAATGTTTCCAAAACCTTACCTGGCAGGTGCACTTGGTGCAGCTATCTACAATCCAGCTTTCATTGTCTGCAAAGACACGACCATCCTGCCAGCAAACAGACTGGTTCTTCAGTGTTTTGTTAGGCCCAATCAATTCCCACATAATTTGGTTCTCTTCAGACTAGAGGACAAAGGAAATGAAAATAAGTTGTGTACTTTGCAAGCAAACCATTTTAAATAAAAAAAAAACAAACTGAGACACTAGTTGATTTAATTCTTCCTTCTTAAAAAAAAGAAAAAAAAGTATATTTTTACATATTCATGTACATAAAGATGACCTCAGAGAGTGGAATACAACATAGCAATTCTTCAAATAACAGTACGAAAACAGTCACACAATACTAAGAAATCTGTTCTTCCCAATTTTGCTTTCCTCTAGTACAGCTCATCTTTAGATGGCAAGATTTTAGTCCTGAGATATATGGCATAGCAATAAACTTCCTTCAGAAAGAATTAACTGATTCAGAATGAGAGGGGCAGACTACAGCAAAATGTCACCATCATACTTCATGTTTAGGTACCCTGGTTAGCCACTTGCTGATGTTTTCATAAATATCATAATCATGGTAACACTGCTTTAGCAGTACACAGACAAGGTTAGGTTTGTTAAATTTTGATTTCCAAACCTGCAGCAACCACAGATCTCTCCTGCGTATGAATGCGTGTGTGCTCTTTTAAATCCAGTCAGCAAAACCCAAGCCATTGTTTAAGTATTATACTCAAGAACTACCTAACTAGTCACTTTGAAAATGCAGGTCATCTCTACATTATGTAGATATACCAACAGGTATATGTGTATATATGTGTATATACATATACACATGTGTATATTATATTATTATAATGTAATATATTAATATATAATGTAATTATAATATACATGCATATGCATATGTGTATAACAGCTATATATGTGTAATACAGAAATCTATTAACTGCCTCTGGTGTAAAGCAAAGAGAGAAAGAGCACTGCACAGCAGACTTCTTTAAGTTCTACACTTTACAGTACTTACAACTTTTTGGAGGTTATCAGCTAAGTTGTTCACCACAATGCGCAGGCCGGTGAGCTCTGTGAACATCGTGCCCAGCTCTTCACAGGAGCGGTCACAGAACTCTGCCTTCCCTGGTTTCTCGCCCACATATTCAGTTGTAACAGCAGGACTCAAGTGAAGGATTTCCGTGCTCTCATTGATGGTGTTCACTTCAGCTGGTAGCAAGAAAGGGAAAGAGAAGAGCAGCATACACAAAGTTCTTCCACAGATTACAGATTCCTGCTGAAATCACATATTGGCACCCATGGGTAGGGTTTAAACACATCTATTTTGGCACAGCTTCATGCCAGATTATACCCATGAATAAAAGAGAGGGGTTAGATGTCAGCTGGTTCCAATTAGAAGCTTTCCCTTTTCAAGACTAAGAGCCAAGCTGTGTCTCATATGGCCCTCACTTTAAAACATAGTTGGCACTGCAGCACACTAATTTATGAAGAAGGCATAACAAAAGGACACAGTATCAAAAAGCAACCCCTTTTATCCACTTAGAGCCATGAAAGATTTCAGGTTTTTCATGACATATCATATTATTCCCTGATGCAGACAAAAAGGAAGGAAAAAGCTTCCTTGAAAACAGTCATTGTCCTTGTTCTTCCCATAAATTCCATAGTTATTTGGGTCAAATTTGAAAAATTATGAAATTTCAACCAGTCTCCAGTCTGTATTGTTCTGCCTGGTATAAAACTCAAGAGTAGCTTTTATAAGAATAGTTTAATTCTGAAGTGAAATGAAGATCAAGCTAAGATCAGGCTCAGTATTTGATTTGTCATTCTAAATACTCCTCCATCAGGCAGCCTGTAATTAAAACAAAAATTTGCATGCATTAGAGAGCGAGAACTGAAGAACTGGACAGGTAGTATCAAAGACCTCCTTGTCTAGCAAATTCTTGTAAAAGACTGCAACAGAAGGCATCCACAGCAATTAATAAAAAAGGAACATAGGTAACTAAATAAAACAGTCTGTGTTCTGTTAAGCATTTAAATCTCCACTATGCAAATGCCTTATGGATTCCATGGAAGATTTCTCTAAGGAGCCCAATGTTCCCTCATTTTATATCAGCCATACTCAAATCCATACTGCCCTGTCCCTTGATAAAGACTTGTTTACCATGTTTAGTACTGTTGTAAATAACATTACCAAATAACAGAAAGGAGAAGAAAGGATATTGTAATTTTAAAAGAAGGCATCAGAACAGGAACATGTGCAACAAGACACATCATCAAAACACCCCAGTATCACCTAGTGTTTTCAAGTCACAGAAGGTGGCAGTGCTTCAAAATTTTGAGGGCTTGATCTTATGCTTGACTACACAGTGTAAACTGTTATATTTAAATGTGCAAGGAATGAAAATAAAAGTATTCTTCATTCATTTGGAAAGCTAAGAATGAAAAAAAAAAGAACCAACTCATAAAATGACATTAAATAATTACTTTCCAACCATATTTAAAATGATCGGCTTGATGTGCTTTTAAATTAGCTATGAAGTATCTGCCACTAGCCAAGGTCTACAAAAAATTGTTCACAGTATTCCAGAGTTGAAGTAATTGGCCAGCTTCACTTACAGGATGCGAGAAAACCAATACACCACATAGCACATCAGAACTCTGTGTCATAACTGTTTATTTCAGCTGTTTTTTGATTCCCTGGAAAGAATGTAATTTTCCTACCACACCGAAACACTAGATTTCGCAGATTCCCCCATAGCACTTCTCAGGTCATTAATTTCATATTTTTCAAGCCAACATGGAATGTGCCTTGACCAGAACATTCTGAGGACATTAATAAAGCTGCAATCTCAGCAGGAAACATAAACCAAAACTATGTTAGAAGAACTAAATCCACACTTCCTACTGGTGCTTGGCAGTGACTGAAAGAAGATGCCTGGGGATCACTGGGATATCAGTTCTCTGCTGCTGGCTTCCTGCTAATTTCTTAAGAACCACATGATCATCTTTAAAATGAGAAACCAGAAGAGCAAATGTGCATCTTCTCACATATGCAAATGTCATTCTGTTGATCTAGCAGAAGAAGGAATTTTATTGATGTGCCTATTTAGGCATGTTTTTGCCATCTGTCCTGCCCAGAACTGTGTATAAGTCGTGCCAAAAGTATTTAGGACATGCTTTTTACAAGGGCAAGTAGTAATAAGACAAGGGGAATAGCTTTAAACTGAAAGAGGGGAGATTGAGATTAGATATTAGGCAAAAATTCTTTACTGTGAAGGTGGTGAGACACTGGCACAGGTTGCCCAGAGAAGCTGTGGCTGCCCCGTTCCTAGAAGTGTTCAAGGCCAGGTTGGATGGGGCTTTGTGCGGTTGCTCCAGTTGGGAGGTGTCCCTGCCCATGGCAGGGGTCTGGAACTGGATGATCTTTAAGGTCCCTTCCAACCCAAACCATTCTATGATTCTATGACTTGCAGCCACCACACTACAGAGATACTTTCCTACCCTTTACTCAACAGCAACCCCAAGATACCATTTCACCATTCCTCACACTCTCACACTGGGATTAAAGATATAATACAAAAACACAGTTCAGTCTCTGAAAAAGCAGCAGGCTTTTTGTCTCCTCAAAGCTAAGGGCACTTCTCTATTAACATCCACCACATTGTTTTGGGACACTTACATATATAAATGGCATCTTAGTGCCTGTACCTCAGCTCAACAACTGGAACATCAAAATGGGCAAATATGTACCTTGTGGCCATGGATTTTTCAGATGTGGTAATTAAGTTGCATAAGCAACACCAGAAAATCAGCCATGCACATAACAAGCCTATCAAGTAATTTTGATGGCCTCAAGCCACAGTGTGCTATTAGCTTTCTTCTGTTGTTGCTCAAGTAATTTTCACCTTGTAGCATCCTCTTGGTGTTGCAACCACTACAGTTCAACTACTGTGAATTGAGCTGTGCACTAAATAATTCCCAGGAAGGATGAAACAAAATCCCAAGTCTTTATAATTTATCAGACCTGAAAATTTGGTAGTTGACAGATGTGATTAAAAAAAATACCTTAAGAAAATATTATCTGTTGTCTACAACCAGTGAAGGGTATAAGAATTCCTCCTAAGGTATGTATCAGCATGCAGAACTCAATTATCCCTTTAGGCTTCCATCAGCTTCCTCTTCATAGTAGAATTACAGTAACATCCCATTTCTACTTGGGGAAATTTCAAAACATTTGGTCACACTACTCCACTTTGTGATAATCAACCAATAATAACAGAAAAGATTTATAGACACTGTCTTTAATTGGTTTTGCTGGTTCAATCCATCTACACCTAGTGATCCTACCCTGTTCTGCCTCCGACTACTGAATGTACCCTCAAGGTTCTACCTCAGCTTCTGGGAGCTGTTTATGCTGGTAAATGAAGCATGATAGATGAACTGCATCCTTTCTGAAACCATCCTTCTGTTATTTAGATTACAACTAGACCCAAAATACATGTTCCCTCTTCCCACAGCACTTATGCTCTTCAAGCATTTTATTCCACTAACAAAGCTGAAAACTAGTAATCAGTAGTTCTGAGTAATTTCTCAGTAGCTTCCGAGTACAAAAACCAGCTTGGATGGGAGAGATGACAACCAACAAATGAGGGCATGTCTTCTCGCCTGTGCCATGTAAGGCCAACTTCCATTCTAGCAAATGTGACTCATTTCTAACACATTGGCACACCTCTGGAAATAACCATCCAATATTTTTTATCAAGATTTAGAAACAGACTAGCAAGCTCAGTTAAACTTCTTGTGCATACACAATATACATACCTCTATGTAGACATATACAAACATTTATATATCACACAGAGACTTCATTATAAGGTCTCAGTACTTTGGGCCCCTTTGAAGAAGTCAAGACCTGCTACTGCTTAATTTCTAGGTTTTGCATAAACAAGGAAAAAAGGTTGAGTACAGTCTGCTTAAATGATTTGAATTTCAAACAAAACCCTGAAGTCCTGACTGCCTTGTGCACCCACCAAATTCCTCCAACGGACTCTGTTGTCTGATTCTTGACTGAGCTCTTGCTAGTTACAAACTCTGGAAAGTAATACGGCCAGCACCTCCCATGAGTTTAAGTACAAAACCTTAGTGAATACTTGACAAATTTCTATAAATTTTATAATGAATCAAATACACTCCCATACACTGAAGGCTCCCTTCCTAGTGAGGTCAGCACAAACTTGACTAACAAGAACACATCAGGCTGTCACATACAAGCCTTCCATACTTCTTAGGTTTTGGTTTTTTTTTGTTTTCCCTTATTTTCTTTAGGTTGTTTTGATTGAAAATGCTTTGGGTTTCAAATCCAAAGCCTCTCATGATCAACAAATTTATTGCATAGGAATTCCGCATTGTTAAGACTTGTGAGACTTGTTCATGGGCTCATTGACACTCAGGAGCAAAATTCAGAAGCAACATTATCACTGTTGTGTTCAAAGAATCATAGACATCTCATGGAATAATGCAAATATTTTCATATATATTCATTTTTTCCTTTTATTTCTATTAATTCCTTGCTTGACAGCTCTTCTCCCCTTTTTAAAAACAGGGGCTGAGTTATAAATCTAAGCCATAAGAACTAAAAATAGTAGACTAGACAGTAGAAATCTATCCCAACATAGCTAAAGAATATGTTCTTATTAGCACCAAAAAGCGGCTCATCCTCTCTTTAATTTCAAAGTTACATGTTGCATCGCTTTAGGATAATACATCACCATTGACATTTCTGATTTTCAGAGTTAACTGAATGGTATTAATGAGATAAAAAGCCTTACTTGTCTGGCTTCTCTGGCATCCTTTTTTACGCAGAACATCCTCTATTGAAGTATCAAAGATTAACTGAATATTTTGCAAAAGACCCTGTAATAATAATAAAAATATAATTAAAAATCAGATAGGCCAATTTGGGAGTAAATAATAACAGATCTGCCTCAATCCCATGCCACTGACTGGGTTCAGCCTTAAGTAAATATGTAAAAAACAACCTAGAAGACATTAAACCTGACACAATAGAAAAAATATAGTTTTGTTATATGCAATTTCAATACTATAAGCAGCAAAACCAGGTATGTTCTGAAATTAGTCATAATAAAAGTTTTTGATCAGCTGTGAGCTCAAATCTCCATGCTCATAACACATTTTAGATTATAGTTCTATGACCTATTCCTCATGAGATAAAGCCAACTTTTGAAGTTCCTGGTCCATCACATTTCAGTCCTTAGCCACACATTCCCATGCATCATACTTCACTGACTCCTCAACTATGCTGACACTACCTTGAGATAACACTGTAAAACCAGACTAGCATGTTTCACTCAAAAAAAAAAAAAAAAAATCAAAGAAAAAACATTACTTTTAAACCAGATTGTTTCAATGATCCATTTAACAGTAGAGCTCCAGAATCAGTTCTATGAGCACAACTGATGGAGAAACTTAGTCATGGAAACGGGAATAGAGAGGCTGTGGGCAAGAACTTCTGGCTTCCCAGTGAAAACTGGTCACCCGTGGAACCACAGTCCAGCATGTCACGCTCTAGCTGACAACTAGGTGGCACAACAGGCTGAGAAAGAAAGGGGTTTTGGAAATTTCTGAAGCCATGCGTTCAAGCTTGATTTCACCTGTGAGTGAAAAGAAGCCATCCTTGGGCCACTATTTGAGGCAGGCAGCAATTTTAATTTTATAGGAAAACCAGAAAGTTTGGAATTGCTTCAATTTAAAACAAAACATAAAGAATAAATGTTTTCCACAAAAAGGGGAAAAAAATAAATCTCTCCTGTGTAGGATCAAAATATTTCTAATTTTCTTCCCCCTACTTGTTTTTTCCGTTGTTGTTGTTGTGGTTCGGTTGGTGTTTGTAATTGAAACTAAAGGTTATTTTGAATGGCAAACAAAGATATTCTGCTAGGGGATGGACCAATATCACGTTTTTTAGCTCCATTAAAAAAAAAAAAAAAAAAGTGTTTCTTCCTTCATTCAAATAAAATTTGAAAATACTGACAGGCTTCTATGACTTGGATAGATTTCAATGAAAAAATACCTCTTCAGGAAATTCCCAAAGAATTTTACAAATCACCACAAAAATGCAACATGTTTAACAGTCTTACATTTGAAAGAAAAAGTGGATGGTTGCATAGGAAAGCCCATAAACTAGCTTTGTGCAGTTTGCCTGGATCTAGGCTGTGTTTTACCAGTCCTTTGCTTTCAGGAAACCCAGATTCACACAACACAGATCCAGCAATGAATAAAAACACACTCTGGAGAAATTCTGCTTGGGAACACCTGTGACCCCATCAAATCCAAGAGGTGCTGGGGAACAAAACTGTGACTATTGCATCTTCTCAAACTATTTGAATTTACTTTTACCTCAGCAGAGACCCGAGCTTCTCCAGGTTACCTACCCTGAAATGATTCTCCCGAATAGACCCTTTTGCCACATACATTCTGCTGTTCTCTGCTTTCAACTGCTCATAGAAAGGCTCCTCCAAGATGAAGCTGTCAATAAGGTCACAGCCAACATAGAGGTTGTAGTTCTCTCCTGTTATTTGCATGGTGAGGTTCTTCCACTGTGAGTCGGCAAGGTCCACATCTTCCAAGGAAATCACGTTCTGGAAGCCATCCACCCAATAGATAAGGTCCAGGGTGTTGGCACGGCCATTAGAAATGATCTCAAACTGCCTCTCACTGATGCCAGGACCCTCTAAAGCAAGGATAGTGCCTCTAGATTGCCTGTCCTGTCTCAGGGTGGCTGAAAGGATAAAGCCCTCATTCTGCCGTATGAGTTTGACAATCTTTTTTAATTTCTCTGGTTTACATGGAGGTATATGGTCAAACCGAATGAAACGATATGCTGGGATAGAGGGGTCTGGACCACGGAACAATTTTGCTCCAATTGTCTTTCGGTTTATGTTACTGATTTGAAGTAAATCAAAGGTAGTCTCCTCTTCCTTCTCACCATCTGAAAGAGTTAACAGGGTGTGACAATGTGTCTACAAAAAGTCTTAAAAGAAACAACTCTGCACATTATACTTAGTAACTGCAATTACATGGCAGGTGCAAGGATCAGAAGAGTAAACCTAACAGTTTCGTACTTCCACAAACAGAACTGTTCCTACTAGCACACTGATTAATGGTATTTTCCACCAGACGTTTTCATTTACATGAGAAGTCTTTCCTTCAATGTCCATAGGTATAAATATGTTTGGTTATATAACAAAATATATGGCTATATAACTAAACAATGGCTATACATTTTATAGCACTTGAATGCACACTTGTATATATATATATATATGCTGTATACATATGCCTACACAGGATGCATCTACCAATGTATTCATTAAATATTTTTAATATATATGAATGGATAAGGAAGTTGAGCAAATTTCTATATTTTGAGTATCAGCTAATAAAAATCAAATTATGAGAAGCCATGTGGCCACATGACAACAGGAAGCAAGAAATTTGCTTTTAACAATTCAGGCCAAGAAGTCAGACATCAAAGAAGGTCTGGCACTGTGCCAGCTTATACTCTACTTATATTTGGCCTGTAGAGGTCTATTTCTCTACCTCTGTCTTTTTAAAATGTTCATCAGACTCAGTGACTCTGCTTGCATGTGACTTTCACATACATTTCCACTGGAGAGGAAAGTATAACAGGAATTGCTTCTTAGATTTATTTATTACTGGAGAAACTCATTTAGCAGTAGTAAGATGTACCTACCAAAAACACCACTAGGAACTACTATTCTAGACACTTCTAAAAAATACAATATGATTACTTTGCCCACTGTAGCTCAGATAAGCAAATGTTTTACACTGACTTTTAGCTTTGTGAGTTACTAAATCTCTAGTTAAGAAGTGTCAGAACTTACCCTGAGCATTTGAGGAAACCCACAGGGTTACCAAGATAGCAAGCCACAAAAGCCCACTCCTCTGCAGCATAACTCCTATGAATAAACCAAAAAGTAGCAAGTATTAGGGAAATAATATTTATCAACTACAAATATTTCAATTTATCTCATGAAATGCCATAAACAGAACTCTCATTATAAGCAACTATACATATAAAATCTGAATTTCTATCTTGTCTGATTTTTGTAATTCTTATTCTGAGGTTACTCTTGATGCCAGAAGTAAAACATATCAAGTGAAGGGAAGAGGAAATCTTGATGATAAAGCTCCTGTTTATGTAAATGCCCTTAAGGGAAAGACAAACGGAAAATACACAATTTTCTCCATAGTATTTCAGTTGCTGGCACAGGGACCACATGACACCACTACACGAGATGGAGAATAAGCTGCATCTTTATTTTGGAGCACAGTGTTCAGCTGAAATTCCCCGTAGGAAAATGGGATCTCACTGTATGTTGGTTTTGGTTACTAGTTTTACTATTCATTTACTATTTACTATTTTGGTTACTAGTTTTACTATTCATTTGGTTACTATTACTATTCAATTTACTATTACTATTTACTATATTCATAAATATACTATTTACTAAACCAATAGTTTACTATTGGTTACTATTTACTATTTACTGATACCTTTTTCAGTGCTATCATACAAACTCCTCTCTTCTTCCTGTGTGTATATATATATATATATACATATAATAACCATTCATCCATTCTTACAACCCTCTGCACCCACGCATAGCTGGATAAAGTGCCTTTTAACATGATGGCATTTTTGCCCTGAAGCACTATGCAACTATAAGCCACGTAGCTGCATCTCCAGATGTGCTTACGCTCAAAATGAATGGAGCAGATGGCGTCCACTGGAACGTGCAGACGTTCGTGCCTCTGGATATAGCCATATCGCTTCAACACTGCTAATTCCACATATTTTCGTAAGGACTCGGGGATGCCAACATTCCCCGCCTATACTTTCTTTGTCTTGCTCTTATTACCTGCCGCTCCGAGGAAGCACCGGTGCAGCCAACTACCGGCCAATGCCACGAAGCCTCTTTCCCCTCTCAATCCCAGCGCACCCCCCATGGGAGCACATCCCTGTGGGCGCGGCGAGCAGACGCCGCACACAGCCTCGGGTCAGCCTTCCTGGGGCAGGTCCCTTCCTTTACTACCCGCGCACCCGCGATGGACGGCTGCCCACGGAGAGCTCCGGTCCTGCAGGAGCAGCTCCCACCGCCTCCCCCCCCGGAGGGGGTATGACGGTAGGGGGAGTACGGCGCCGTCCAGCCTGGTGCCTCACCTGGCATGGGGGAGCCGACGGCGCGCTGAGGCTCTACCGGTGGAGAGCGGAGCACTCTACCCTGCCGCCGTCACAAGTCCCTCCGCGGCCCCGCGGCCCGCGCCGCTGCCTTTATGGGCTACGGGCCGGGCCCCCGCTGTCAATCAGCGGCGCCGGGGCGCGCCCCTGGCTCGCCCCTTCGCGGCCGTGACATAGCCCCGCACCGCCCCCTCCCCACCGTGTGGCCCGCGCTCGCCTACCTGCGAAGCCATTCCGGGCCCGGGGCGGCCCCTGCTCCGCCCCGCGGCCGCCCTTCGCGGGCGGTGCGGGAGGCGGGACGGGGACCAGTATTTCCCTCGGGGCGCAGCGTGGGGGTGCGTCCGGGTGTGCCGTCGAGCTTCTGGTTTCGAGGCGGGACGACAGCGGCAGCCCCGGCGCGGCAGAGCCCCCGAGAGGCGGCGCCAGGCCCCGGCAGAAGGGAGGTGAGCGCGGCCAGACCAGCCCCTGCGGCAGCCCGAGTCCGGTCCCCGAGGGCGTGGAGCGCGTTCCCGGCTCCTCCGGAGCGGCCGGGAGCTTCGCGAAGCCTCGTCGGCTGAGAGCTCGGCACTGCGGCAAAACTCGGCCTTCCAGAGCGCTGAATCATTTGTCTCATTTTAAACTTCTTTATTTTTAAATTACACAGCAGCCAAAAGGCGAGACGTGTCCCCGTCTACCCCCACACCCCTATCTGTAAAAGTTTGCTGGAGGTAAAGTTTTGTAAAGCTTACTGGAGATCAGCCAGCAGCTTCTCAAGCGAGCCCAGCAACTCAGCCCCTCTTTTCTCCATAGGAAGCACCAGCTCCTTTGACCTGAAGGAGGGCTCAGTGGGCTTGCTTAGGCATCTCCTTATGGAGGGAGCCTTGGGCTAACGAAAGAGGCACACAGATCTTACTCTTAGGCTGCTCCCACTCTAGTTTGGAGAATTGGAATGTATCTCCACAAACCAGGGCTCCAGTCCCAACCCTGGGACTTACAGGTTACCATGCTGAGGAGCTGCTAGCATGGCTGTAGGCTCCATGCTCTATGGGAAGCAGGAGAATGAATCCCTGCGGTGGGTCCACAGAACCTGTCCTGCATGTTGTCAGGAGTCAAACAAGGAGACCAGGATCCCTGCTGCTGAGACCCAAACTGGGGTTGCAGAATATAAATAGGAGGATCCTGCAGCTGATGCAAAGAGACATGAATTTGGCTGAGTTGCCTACAGAATCCAAGAAATGAAGCCCTGTCAAATGTGTAGATGGATAAACACCACAAATGTTAACAAAAAAAAAAAAACAACAAAAAAAACACATCAACTTTGCTCATCACAATTTTAAATTCCAGCAGAAAAAAAAAGTGTTTCAGAACTCGGAAGGCTCAAAAAACTTCAAAGGCTCAATCTGTCACTAGAGCAGAAAACACCAGTGCAACGCCAGTGCAAGCATTGCTGCCTTTCCTTTTGCCATGAAGCTCCTTCCAACTTGGCTGGCCCTGGCCTTGAAGGGTAGCAGGAGCCAAGGAGCCTTCCTCTTTCTCGCAGGGTCCAGGAGACAGAGCCAAGCTAGGAGGGAGAGGGTTTTTTTGTCCTCCTAAGACATTTGGTTTTCAGTTTTGTGAAACCTCAAGAATTTAAAAAAAATAGCTAATGAAGATCACAAAACCTCAAATTCTACTGAGTTTACTCATCCCCCCCTACCCCCCCATATTAAGACTTAGTCTTTATATCTATCTATGTAGCTGTTTGTTGTGTTTTCCACAAGACTGAACAGCACTGCCACAACTCTCACCAGGCGGCTGCTCTGGGTTTACAGCTAGAAAAGAGAGGGCAGCAAAGTGTTTGAGAGACCTAGAAGGTATCTTTGAGATGGTGCAGTTTGCTATTTGTATGTTCATGTACAAAGAGTTTTTACAGTGGAAATTTTTAAATTAGTAGAAGAACAGTGCAAAGTAGAGACAAATTTCATCATGACTGCTTTGAACCAACTACCTCATAACAAAATTCTTCTTTCCATCTCTGTGGGTGTTACAGGAATGTAAGACTGATAGCATATTGTTTCAAGCTGAGTGATTTATATGTAGGATGTTGACCTTTAAGAAGACATATTGGGTTCTGTTCTTTCCACGACTGTGGAAATGCTCACTACTCATTTTTCCCTGGCCACCTTGGAAGAGGTAAACATCCTCTTATTTCCAAGATTCCTGAGAGAAAGGCTCACAGGAGTGAATGCACACTCTGCTTTCCCTAGCTAGCCAATGTACACATGCAAACATTGGGATTATGTTCACATTTCTCATTCTATCTGCCATTTTAGTACAGAGTGAAAGTGAGCAGTGGTAATTAGATAAAGTCATATTTACTAATATTTAGTAATGTTGGTGAGATGACAGTAGTTCTCATACTAATGGTCTTCTTTAATGTTTTACATTTCATTGAGTTTGCTTCAGACTGGCCCATCAGACAAGAGCATAGGTCCTTAACGTGTCATTTCCTTATGCGTCTGTCTTTGCCTTTTTCACTCTACTGTTTGGATTTTGGCTTCTTTTCTCTTCTGTATAAGCCCCTTCTGGATTACTTGCAAGATTACATGCATTACTGAAAATTGCTGGAGAATGGCAAGATTCTGATATGGCACTATCTCAGGAAGAACTGTGATTTGATGGACCTTCATCAAATAATCCTTGATTTTGCCTAGAACGTCATCCCTGACACTCTGACTTAGCTTATCTTGGGGCAAGACTTGAACCCTCCTACATTTGAAGAAATCCCACTAAAGAAGTGGAATACACTATACTTACTAGAAATTTCTTTCTGACTGCTTTTCTGATAAGATTGAAGTTACTGTAACATGATGCCAGAAGATAAATTCCATGAGCTTTGCTGGGTTAAATGCTGACTTTCCACCACCCCTCCACCCCCCAAAAAGCATGCCCACTAATTGAAATGGATCTAGTTGCCCTAATATGATGAATCCTTCAGGTCTCACCTTGCATTCCTTGATCTTGACCTGATGCTGATAAACATTCTTTCGGAAACGCTGTCCCACAAGCATGATTTTTTTTTTATTTTCTTCTGTTGTGATGAGGTTTGATTTTCATAATTCACTGTATTGGGGGTCCAAAACTGAAGCAAATCGCTTCAGATTAGCATGTGACTCAGCCATTCAGGTCTTCGAATGAGCTTGTAGTGGTAGGAAGAAAGACCTGGGTGGTTCCTCACACAACATGTTGTAAGTACACCAGCTAAATGCAGATTTTGAATGGGGGAATAAATTACACCAGGGACAGTGAATTTATCTATGATGAGGGAGAAAGTTATTTCTGACAAAGTGTTAAGTTGCTTTAGTTGAGTTCTGGTGAATAAGTAGTCAGAAAAAATAGGCATCATAATCAGGTACTTAGTTTTCTGTTCTTTGATTCAGAAGGAGAAGTGTTTTATTTCCAGCCTTCCTTAAATAATTTCCAGGTACAAAATGTATCCAGACACAAATGCTAACGCATTCTGTCAGAATAAATGGCCATGGGTTGTAGAGTACCAGCTGGTATACTTTAAAAATAACCTTGTCAAAGAGGGAAATCTTGCTACCCCCCATTTACAAACCTCGTTTTTACTCAACAACATACTTATACACAAAAGCTTGTTCAGTGGTGTCAGCAGGAAGACTTCTGAGTTTAAAGCTAAGCACATGTTTAAATGTTTTGTTAGATTGATTCCTACATGATTTAACTGTTGTCAC